TGCAACTAATATGTTAGTTGTGAGATGATGTATTACGGAACGAGTAAAGAGACTTGCCAGTAACGAGATTGAACTAGGTATTGGATACCGACGATCGAATCTCGGGCAAGTAACATACCGATGACAAAGGGAACAACGTATGTTGTTATGCGGTCTGACCGATAAAGATCTTCGTAGAATATGTAGGAGCCAATATGGGCATCCAGGTCCCGCTATTGGTTATTGACCGGAGACGTGTCTCGGTCATGTCTACATTGTTCTCGAACCCGTAGGGTCCGCACGCTTAAGGTTACAATGACAGTTATATTATGAGTTTACATGTTTTGATGTACCGAAGGAGTTCGGAGTCCCGGATGAGATTGGGGACATGACGAGGAGTCTCGAAATGGTCGAGACGTAAAGATTCATATATTGGATGATATGGTTAGGCCAAGGGGTCAAGCCCATGAGGCTTTAGATCGATGCAAAAGGAGTTTTGCGGAGTCCAGGGGGCCAAACGCCGGAGACTCTGGCGTCTGGCCCTGGGCCAGACGCCGAGGCCCATGGCGTCTGGGCCAGACGCCAAGGATTGTGGCGTTTGGTCCTGGAGTCCGAGTGGGACTCTTGCCTTTCGGGAAAAACCGACTTTGAGGAGGCTTTTGCTCCAAGTTTCGACCCCGGGGCTCAACATATAAATAGAGGGGCAGGGCTAGCACCAAAGACACAACAATTGATCCCTTGGATCTCTTAGCCGTGTGCGGTGCCCCCCTCCACCATAGTCCACCTCGATAATATCGTAGCGGTGCTTAGGCGAAGCCCTGCGACGGTAGAACATCAAGATCGTCACCACGCCGTCGTGCTGACGGAACTCTCCCTCGACACTCGACTGGATCGGAGTTCGAGGGATGTCATCGAGCTGAACGTGTGCTAGAACTCGGAGGTGCCGTAGTTTCGGTGCTTGATCGGTCGGGCCGTGAAGACGTACGACTACATCAACCGCGTTGTGCTAACGCTTCCGCTTACGGTCTACAAGGGTATGTAGACAATACTCTCCCCTCTCGTTGCTATGCATCACATGATCTTGCGTGTGCGTAGGAAATTTTTTGAAATTACTACGAAACCCAACACCATTAAGGCCCAATACGAATTCCCGTAACTCTCCGGTACTCCGAAAAATACCCGAATCACTCGGAACCTTTCCCAAGTCCGAATATAGTCGTCCAATATATCGATCTTTACGTCTCAACCATCTCGAGACTCCTCGTCATGTCCCCGATATCATCCGGACTACAAACTCCTTCGGTACATCAAAATATATAAACTCATAATATAACTGTCATTGAAACCTTAAGCGTGCGGACCCTACGGGTTCGAGAACAATGTAGACATGACTGAAACACGTTTTCGGTCAATAACCAATAGCGGAACCTGGATCTCATATTGGCTCCCACATATTCTACAAAGATCATTATCGGTCAAACTGCATAACAACATACGTTGTTCCCTTTGTCATCGGTATGTTACTTGCCCAAGATTCGATTGTCGGTATCTCGATACCTAGTTCAATCTCGTTACCGGCAAGTCTCTTTACTTGTTCCGTAATACATCATCCCGCAACTAACTAATTAGTTGCAATGCTTGCAAGGCTTATAGTGATGTGCATTCCCGAGAGGGCCCAGAGATACCTCCCCGACAATCGGAGTGACAAATCCTAATCTCGAAATATGCCAACCCAACATGTACCTTCGGAGACACCTGTAGAGCTCCTTTATAATCACCCAGTTACATTGTGACTTTTGGTAGCACACAAAGTGTTCCTCCGGTAAACGGGAGTTGCATAATCTCATAGTCATAGGAACATGTATAAGTCATGAAGAAAGCAATAGCAACACACTAAACGATCAAGTGCTAAGCTAACGGAATGGGTCAAGTCAATCACATCATTCTCCTAATGATGTGATCCCGTTAATCAAATAACAACTCATGTCTATGGTTAGGAAACTTAACCATCTTTGATTAACGAGCTAGTCAAGTAGAGGCATACTAGTGACATTATGTTTGTCTATGTATTCACACATGTATTATGTTTCCGGTTAATACAATTCTAGCATGAATAATAAACATTTATCATGAAATAAGGAAATAAATAATAACTTTATTATTGCCTCTAGGGCATATTTCCTTCAAAAGAGAAGCCCACGCGCGAGATAAAAGAGAAGACCACACGCGTGCGCTCGCATGTCCTGGCGTGGCCGGAGCACCGGAAAACTCGCCCAGGAAGGTGGTGGAGAGGTTGCCGCGGTGAAACCCTCTCTCTTTTCCGGCGGGGAATGGACTATCTAGCCGTGGTGGGCGGCGGGCGGCGCCAGGACCGGCAAGGTGGCGGGAGGGCGCGCGCGGCGAGGGGGGGAAGTGGAGGCGTTTGTCTTGACTTTTCGCCTGACAGTGTGGACTAGACATGGTTTTCCCTTCCAGCGGAGCCCCCGAGCGCCCCCAGTGCGCTGGGTTTGGCCTGGGATCGTCTGGCCAAAAAACGGATCGAACCGACGGATTTCGGTGTCTTGGGGACGCGACTGGGGGCCACGCTGGGGCCTGTTGGGGACGCGGCTGGAGATGCTCTAAGAGCATCTCCAACAGCCACGCTATATAAGCGCCGCGCTGAAAAAGTAGTGCTTTTAGCGCGCGCTACCGCTCTGGGCGCTCCAGCGGACGCGCAAAAACCGCGTGCGCGGCATATCTAATTCAGCGCGTGGGTGGAAACGCCATCACGCGCCGCTTATTTGCTGCGCCTGCTCCCACACGCTGGACTCTCAAGCGCTCGCTCGCAACTCGACCTACCCATCCAGCCATTGCCGCCGCCGCCCGCGCCACCCCATTTCTTCCGACGACCGTTCCGGCGCTTCCCCGGTCTCTCCCCACGCGGCCGCGGCTTCCTCCGTCTCCCTCTAGTCAGCGTCGCCCGTCACGCGCGGCAGTCCTCCGACGAACAGCGCCCGACCGCCCACTGCCGCTTGGCGCCCGCAAGGTGTTCGACAAAATGCCCGCAAGGTATGTATTGCTTCCAACTTCATATTTTTACATGAAATTTGGTGCATGTTGTTTGTAGTTTTTTATAGCCTAGTTTTGAGCATTGTAGATGAGTTCGTCATATGATTCTTTTGAAGAAGAATTTGATATGGAAGAGGAGGAGGATCTTGCAATGAAACTAGCTATGCACATCAATAAAAAACCAAAGCATGGTGGTTCGGTTATGGGTCGGCAGAAAATTTGGAGGGATAGGATCGATGCCCACAACATATTGATGAGGCACTATTTTGTGGAGAATCCCACATACCCCGAGTCGTACTTTCGTCGCCGGTTTAGGATGAAACCGAGTTGTTCAGGCGCATTGCAAAGAAACTAGCGAGCTATGATCATTTTTTTAGCAGAGAAGGAATGCCGCCGGAGAGCTCGGGCATAGCACCTTTCAGAAGGTGACAGCCGCTTTGCGTATGTTGGCATACAGTATCCCCGTTGATCTATTTGATGATCACTTGGCCATGGGTGAGAGCCAAGCCGTCATGTGTGTCAAGCGCTTCGCAGTCGGAATTGTGCAAGTGTTTGGCCTGGAGTACTTGAGATCTCGCAATGCTGAAGACGTTGCAAGGCTATTGGAGATGAACAAAGCTTGCGGGTTCCCAGGTATGCTTGGCTCAATAGATTGCATGCACTGGAGTTGGAAGAATTGTCCAAAGACATGGCATGGACAATTCCACGGACAAAAAAGGGTTCCACTATAATCCTTGATGCGGTGGCCGATCAAGATACTTGCATTTGGCATGCTTTTTTTGGAATGCCTGGATCTTTGAATGACATCAACGTTGTCAACCGGTCACCACTGATGAGTAAGATTGCAAATGGTGAACTGTCACTGGTGCAGTTTGTAGCTAATGGTCGTACATACAACTATGCCTACCATCTTGCGTATGGCATCTACCCAAAGTGGCAAACATTTGTGAAGCCGTTAAAAAAACCAAAAGGTAAGAAAAATCTTGATTTCCACAATGCTCAAGCGGCGGTTAGAAAAGATCTGGAGAGAGCTTTTGGGATTTTGTAAGCCCAAATTGCTATTGTGAGAGGACCGACTAGATTTTGGAATCAAAAAAAATGCTTTGGTACATAATGCACGCTTGTGTGATCATGCACAACAATATCATCGAGAATGAGCGTGGCCAAGATGTAGACTACTCTCACTATGAGCTCTCGGGACATTCCGTGCGTGTGCGGCGGAGGGCTGAAAGGGTGGCCTGTTTTGTTGCCTCCTATCATGTCATTTGACGTCCGACAGCGCATAATGATCTTCAGAAGGATCACATTGAGGAGTGGTGGCTTGGAATGACCGCCAAAGAGCATCATGATTCGTGCGTTTGATATTGTATTGTTGAACTATTTGTTGTATTTGATGAAAGATACTATTTGTTTGAGTTGTAATAATAAATTAAATTATTTATTATTGATTTATTTTGTTTGTGCATGATCTTCTTGCTTGTGTTTGGAGTGCATATTTTGTTTGTGCGAGAGCGCGCCTGCTAAAGTTACGCGCACGCTGAATTTTAGCGTGGTTGCTGGAACCAGCGCTTCGAACCAGGCGATCGACGCGTTGCAAACTGGTTTTAAGCGCGCCGCGTGTTGGGCGGCTGTTGGAGGAGATGCTCTAAGCACTTCGGTTTGCGCGTGACGTCCAAGTTAGTCCCGATCTCGTCCAGCTTGTGCTCACAGAAGCTTTGGTGATGAGGAGTCGTAGGCGCCATGCTTAGTAATAAAGGTGTAAATATATATATATACTCCTACTCCGACCCGTTTCGAACAACTTTGACCCTGAAAGTCTCTTCTACGTTGCACTTGCCCTGACAGCGTGCCGCCTACTCCTCATCACCAAGCCAAGCACCAGGGTTTTGCCCGCCGCCGCCGCCGCCACCACCACCGACCTCTCCTCCTTCCGAGCATCCACGGTCGCCGCCACCGCCACGGTTGGCCCTCCGATGGAGGTGCCGCCGGAGTGGCCGGCGGGCCGGGTCCGGGAGGCTTTCATCGACTTCTTCACGTCCAGGTCGCACACGGCATGGCCGTCGAGCCCCGTGGTGCCCGTCGGCGACCCCACGCTCCCGTTCACCAACGCCGGGATGAACGGGTTCAAGGCGATATTCCTCGGCCTGGCCGCCCCGGGGTCGCCGCTGGGCCGCCTGCGCCGCGCCTGCAACACCCAGAAGTGCATCCGCGCCGGCGGCAAGCACAACGACCTCGACGACGTGGGCAAGGACACGTACCACCACACCTTCTTCGAGATGCTCGGGAGCTGGTCCTTCGGGGACTACTTCAGGGAGGAGGCCATCGCATATGCGTGGGAGCTCCTCACCCAGGTATATATATCAGCTTCTTCTTGCCTTGAGCCCCTTGCCCCCTTCTCAAGTTCTGATCCCCTGCGTGTTGGAGTAGGTTTCTTTGTTTAGCGATGACTTTGTGCAGCTATCGATAATTTAGTATGACAAATTGTTATTGTTATTACTTGAATTTTCAAATGTATTGTATAGCACTTAAATTTCCATTCATGCCTTAATGAAAAGCACTCTGAAATAGTATTTTGTTTTGTTAAAATCACGCCCATGCATATATTTCTATGAAAAACTGAGCTCTTTACTGTTTTTCCAGAGTTAATAATTAATCATTGTTTTGTACAACAAGTTCGGTCGCTTTGGTTATATATTCATTGACTCTGGCCTTCTTACCTCCCATCTAGTAAGATTTTAAGGCATTATGTGCAGAGTGAATCTTGTTCTGGTCAGAGACATGTATGTTGCCTATTTTTTTACGTAGGGTCTCTGGACATAAATATATCTGAACAAGCAAAAATAAGAAAATGATGTGAAAAACTACAGATGTACAAATTTACAACTGAAATTTAAACAATGGCTACCTTCTTACTACCTACTGATTGCTATTTCATATGTACAGGTCTACAAATTGCCCACTGATAGAATTTATGTAACATACTTTGGTGGTGATGAGAAAGCTGGTCTCACTCCCGATACCGAGTCGAAAATCATATGGTTGAAGTATCTACCGAATGAAAGAGTTCTGCCTTTTGGTTGCAAGGTATTCTGGATGTGCTTGGTTTGTTGGTCGAACTCTTGGCTGTTCTGGGCATTATGTAGTATTTAGTTTCACTTTCTTTGTTTCTGTTAGACCTATACTATTGTCAATGTCCCTGTTAAAGAACAGTATTACAATGTATTCTTTGAGCAGGATAACTTTTGGGAGATGGGCGACACAGGTCCTTGTGGGCCATGCTCAGAGATTCATTTTGATCGTGTTGGCAACCGTGACGCAGCTTCATTAGTGAATAATGATGACCCTACATGTATTGAGATCTGGAATCTTGTGTTTATTTAGGTTAGCATGCTATTTCCTCGAAACTCATTTCTTTGTAGATTGTTGAGCTTTTTAACTATTCAGGTTAACATGCTATTTCCTCGAAACTCATTTCTTTGTAGATTGTTGAGCTTTTTAACTATTCAGGTTAACATGCTATTTCCTCGAAACTCATTTCTTTGTAGATTGTTGAGCTTTTTAACCTCAATAAACCGTCAGTTACTCTGTTTTATGTGTGCATGCCTATTTGCTTTTTATCTGTTCTATGCACTGACATTTGGCTATTTTAATACCCAGTTCAACAGGGAATCAGACGGTACTTTGAGTTCCTTGCCAGCAAAACACGTCGACACTGGAATGGGCTTCGAGCGTTTAACTTCTATCCTTCAGAATAAAATGAGCAATTACGATACAGATGTATTCATGCCACTATTTGATGCCATCCACAAGGTATTTTGTCCAGATGCACACTTGCAGCTTCTTTTGTGCTTGTGAGTGTGAGTTGTGACTACATTAATAAATTGTTGCCTGAAGTAAATGATATTCATTGTTAATTCGATATGCATTATGAGTGCAGCTGGCAGGCGTTGGAATTCAACCATACTCTGGTAAATTAGGATCCGATGATGTCGGGCAAGTTGATATGGCATATAGGGTTGTTGCAGATCACATAAGAACCCTTTCTTTTGCTATTGCTGATGGTTCTCAACCTGGTGAGTTAATACTGCTTTAGTTGGGGTGCATGATTTAAAATGATTGCCATCCATTTATATTGGTGTGTAAACAAATGGACATTGTTAAGTTGCTTTCTGTTTTGCATCCTACACAATAGGATGCTTAAGTAGCTCTATCTCATATGTGTATGTGAGACAACATTAATTAGTAATCTAGAATGACATAATCTGAAGTAAGCAGTTAATGATTCTCTTGCTTGTTGTGTATGCATTAGAAATTACCACTTGGATCTATAATAGCTGCAAAATAATAACATATGGTGGCATGGTGCACATATGTTGCAGTTACATTTCGGCAATAAAAGTTTAGAACAACTGCAGAAAATATGTTACTGACTTCATTCAGCTTAATGGGATTGTTTCCGGTGGATCCATCATCTTGATCAACCTATCTAGTGTGGATGGTGTATAATTGAAGATTTTGTCGCAACTACTGAGCTATTGTATTTTTCTTGTATTTTTACAGTGTTTCAGGGCTTCGTTTTGTGTTATACAATGTGTTTCTTTGTTCTAATACAAGTTTTTCTATAGGAAATGAGGGAAGAGAGTATGTTCTAAGACGTATACTTAGACGTGCTGTTCACTTTGGTCATCAAAAATTGATGGCAAAGAAAGGATTTTTTAGCTCGTAAGAACTATAACCTGCATCTGTTTTATTCTATAAATTTTCCTTATTGATATATTTGCATAGCTTTTTGTTTACTCGGAATGCTGAAATGTAATGTAAGGCTTCTGAGAATGACTGTAGATGTCCAGAATTTTGCTCTAGTCGGGATGGCAGCCTGAATGTTCCGCTTTGGTCGTGAATGTAATTGCAAGTCACACCCTATTCTGTAAAAATTAAGCACATTATAGACATGAATATCCGAAGTACAGTAACATGAGGTGGGCACATAGAAGTCACAGCTGGTGATCGTAGAATGGTCGATCTGTACATTCTCTTAAATAAGCTAACTGCATAATTACTAATTAGCTATATTAAAACATGTTTCCTGAAGAGAGACACGGTACCAGGCAGGATTCCTTGCTGTAGCTGATTTTGTTGATGGATGGTTGGGTACTGGGAAAACAAACTCCAGCCCAGAATTTGTTGAAATTTGAACTTAAATCATGAAAACAGCGCTAGGCAGGTGTATGTTCTATTTATTGAATATTATTAGTAGGTTCAAATGTTAACTCTGGGTCATTAGTACTGTTTGAGTTATCAAGATTATGTGTCCTTTATGACACTTACCTAGGAAAAAAGCTTGGGCCTCCGGTAAGTTGAAGGAACCTTAACTAGTGGTCAATTTCTTGTTTTGAAAGGAATTTTACAGGAAATCTGAACTAGCATGTGTCCAATTTTGTGTGGTACTTTGAAGGTTAGCATTTGACAACAAAGTATTGGGCTCCGACCTCTTAAACATGATAAACTTTTGTATTTTTACTTCTGCTGTTCTGCATAAATTTTTTAAGTTGTTTCTTATTCTCTCTCCATATTTCCAGTGGCTGGCACCCCTCTCTCATCGTTTTTATTCTCAAATCTTCATTTGATTTACCATTATTTTGTATTTTGCTTGTACAGCCTTGTAGATGCTTTTGTCCAATTGATGGGCGACGTGTTTCCTGAGCTGAAGGACAATGAAAAGAAGATTAAAGATATAATTAAAGACGAAGAGGCAAGCTTTGAGAACACTCTAGTGAAGGTAATGTTGGCTACCAGGAGTATTTTTGCATAACAGTAACATCAATTTGGCCCAAGTGAAGTTTGTTGAAGTAATTTCATTGCAATCAAATCCGAGTGTTTGCACACTCTTAGGCAGTGTTTCCATACTTTATCTTTTCTTTAAATCATATGTTATCCTTCTTTACATGTGCTATTGTCAAAGTAATTTAGCTAGTTTGTTATCAGATAACCTAAATTTTTGTTGTCCCAGAGGCTCTGGGCCAGTTTATACCTTGTATCTTCTGTACCACTGTTTTGCTCGAGCGATACTACTAAAGAATTTATATATCTTAACGTGTTGTGCCGAATAACCAGGTAGTCTCTTGTTTTGAGGCAACACATTAAGGAACATACCCAGGGTGATAGTATCAATCTTGGTTTACAACAGCTTAGTTCAATCTCAATAATTAGCCTACGGATTAATTGTTTCACTTTTTCTATGAAATGACCATTAGTAATCCAATTAGTTGGTCTTCACATGGGCATGATTCTGTTTATCATGCTTATATTTTAAGGGAAGTTCCAACTAGGCTCCTCCATTGTGTTTCATATATAGAAACAGAGACTAAGAAAGCTTACAGTTGAAGTTTAGTTAACCGGTCTTTTCTTAGAACCATCATAATATATATTGTCATTTCTTGTGGCTGTTCAACCTGATTGTGCTGTTGGTGTAATTTTTAGGGTGTTAGTATCAATCTTGGTTTACAACAGCTTAGTTCAATCACAATAATTAGCCTACATGATAAATTGTTCCACTTTTTCTATGAAATGACCATTAGTAACCCAATTTATTTGGTTTTTACACGGGCATGATTCTGTTTATCATGCTTATATTTTAACGGCAGTTCCAACTAGGCTCCTCCATTGTCTTCCATATATAGAAACAGAGACTAAGAAAGCTTACAGTTGAAGTTTAGTTGACCGTTCTTTACTTAGAACCATCATAATATATAATGTCGTTTCTTGTGTCTGTTCAGCCAGTTGACTGATTGTGCTATTGGTGTAATTTTTAGGGATATGCGAGATTTAAGAAAGCTGCAGATGCTGTCAAGGAGAATGGCGGGGCAGTGCTTAGTGGCCAGGCAAGTGCTTTGGTTTTGAGTTACCACCGCATACTTGATTTATTTTGTTTTCACTAGAAGATGTTTGCATCTAAGCAGACTTATAGTTTTTATTATCTTTGCATGTTGTGTTATATATTCTCTATAGTAATGTGGAATAATTCTTTTCCTCGTCCTTATTTTGAGAATGGGAGTTCACTGCATAGAAACATGCCTCTTAGATCAAACTTCAAGCATGTTTAACAATGTTCTGTTACCTCCTGCTGAACTTTTCAAGTTTATATTGCCATCTTTCATGTATTGCAACTGTTATTTATACTTTCAGGATGCATTTGTTCTGTGGGACACCTATGGTTATCCAATTGATTTGACTGAGGTTTGTTCTTCATGTTTTCATCAGTAAATTTAATCAAATTAATTTGGCAGTGATGTACTTTTCATGTTTATGCTGTTGTTAAAGCTTTTATTGTCTATTTTTCTGGTATGGTTGTTGCTTCCTATCTCATAGGTCATGGCAGTTGACTTCGGGCTATCTGTTGACATGGAGGATTTTAATGCTTCTATGGAAGAAGCAAGGCAAAAGGCTAGGAATGCTCGCTACAAGGTTTTATTTATTTCTCCTTAAACATAAAACTCAATCCCTCACTTTGTGGTCTTTTATGCTATCCAAGTATTATTCCTGCTGTTTGTTGTTTAATAATGCTGCAATTAACTAAACATAGCATCTCTTATATGCCACTGATGCTCGACTGGCCAACTCTTTTCTGTTATGGTTTATATCATACTTATTTCTGATTTTGCTATATATGGTTTCTTGCAGGCTGGTGGCAAATCTATTGTCCTGGATGCTAATGCTACATCGCAGCTGCACAATCAGGGGCTTTCCAGCACAAATGATAGCCTGAAATTCCAACACGAGGTTACATGATTAATTACATTATTTAGTTGTGGTTTGGCTATTAGGTGCAGTTCCTTTCAATATCCAGTGCCTGTTTGGGATTACGTAGAATTTCATTCTAGTTTGGCCCAAAAATTTACAAAGCAATCCCCTTCTTCGAATCACCTTCAAGTAGTGAATTTAAGAGGCTACCAGCTTTTGATTGTTTTTGCACTGTTCATACTTCACATTGTGGTTACTGGTTAAACACTTATATATTGATTATGGCCGATATACCTAAAAACATTTTGCAGGTACATAGTAGTGTGGTGAAGGCTATCTATACTGGCTCAGAGTTCATAACCACTGCATCTGATGATGAAGATTTTGGTTTGGTTTTGGAAAGCACAAGCTTCTATGTGGAACAGGGTGGTCAGGTACAACTTCACTTCTGGCAGTGTCACGTTGGTGTAGTTGAATGAAAATGTCAAGTGCAATCACCTCTCGAGTTATAATCATGCGACGAATTATCAGCTTACCTACTGAATAAGCATGACATTCTGTTTTTTTTAATGTAATTTTCATGTGGTGCCATTACTACAGGAAGAAACCCTAGCTGACATTATCTCAATAGATTTGCGAGTTATAGATATTTTCTATAGTAACTATTGAGATGTCTGATGGGGTGTCCTCCTGTAGCAATGGTCCCACATGACAGTAAGTTTGTTAAATTTAACAGAATTATGTTGGTTGATTCATAAGTAAAATAGACGCATAATTTCTGTTTGAAAGTTATTCTTTGATTGTAACCAGAACAAAAAATGATTAGTGCACCCTGAAGAGTGATACCTCCCGTTGGTTGTATGCTTGTATATATGAACTTTTCCTCTTTTTAATGAACGATACACAACTTCCTGCATGTTCGAGAGTTGCGCCATGCATTGTATGAATTCTTTTGACATGCCATATGACATTTCTGGATTAGATCTATGACACTGGGAGTATCGAGGGGCCATCTGGATCTTTCATTGTGAACAATGTCCAAGTGTTTGCTGGCTATCTCCTGCATATCTGTTCATCTCTGGAAGGGCCTGACTCCAGGGCATTGTCTGTTGGTGATGAAGTGAAATGCAAGGTAACTTTCTTTACTGATTAATTCCTTTTACCAAATCAGTTAACCTGTGAAATTTTGCTAACTTGCATTGCTATAATTCTATTACTCTTGGTAGGTTGATTACACACGGCGTGCTCTCATTGCTCCAAACCACACATGTACCCATATGCTCAAGTTTGCTCTAAGGGTATGTTTTCAAGCCTCTCAGATTTTACAGGGAGTTCCTTTCTTGCACTCATGATGGTTTCGCTTTTGTGAGTGTAGGAAGTACTTGGTGACCATGTTGACCAGAAAGGTTCCATTGTTCTTCCAGAGAAGCTGAGATTTGATTTCTCCCATGGTATTGCTGTGATTCCTTTTATATCGCATCCACATGATGTTTTTCCTCGGCTTGTCAACTCAGCCGTTAGTACGTAACAGGGAAGCCTGTGCCGCCCGAAGATTTGAGAAGAATCGAGGATATAGTGAACCAGCAAATAAAGGACGGGCTGGAGGTATATGCACAAGAAATAAAATTAGCTGACGCGAAGCGCATAAATGGCCTGCGAGTGGTGTTCGGCGAAGTGTGTTCTATTACCCAGCTTGACGTACCATGTTCTCATATCTCGTTTGCCTGCCCTGCTGTTTCACGTAATTCGCTTTACGTATGGACTTTGTAGATCTACCCTGACCCTGTAAGAGTTGTATCGATTGGTCCCAAAGTGGAAGATCTGCTTGCAAACCCTGAAAGCAAACAATGGTTATCCATATCAACTGAGTTGTGCGGAGGTATAGTTATTTACTACTCTGTTCTATGTAATTCTTCTACGTTTGTGCGTTTACGTCATCTGAAGTTTATGTATATCAGGTACGCACATTTCAAACACTAGAGATGCTGCAGCATTTGCCCTCATATCTGAAGAGGGTATCACAAAAGGTGTTCGGAGGATAACGGCTATTACTGCTGAGTGTGCCTCCCAGGCTATCAAGTTGGCACAATTGATTGAAACTGATATCAATGAAGCATCTAAACTACTAGACGGAGCGACATTGGCAAAGGTACTAAGCTCTTCCCTTTTGTGCTTGTGTCTCTTCAGTATGAGCTATATATATGGCTGTGATACTCTGATATATTGGATACTATTAAAGGTTTTTGGGCTTTTTGTTTGTTTTCTTACAAATATTATGTCCTTGGCGTTTATATGAATGGATGATGTCAATTTTACTTTGTAGCCATTTCCTGTTGATCTTTTTTGTATTATATCATACTTACCTAAGAGTGATGTTTCTTCATCAGAAAATTGGGTCCATCAAGAATACACTGGATGCAGCTGCTATCCCAGCTACAAGAAAAGCTGATCTAAGAGGCAATATCTCAAAATTGGAGGTCTGTAAATGTTTCAGTTCATTTGTCACATCTTGTCAAGGAGAAAGTATTTACGATATTTGGTATATTCTATTGCTAGTTAAAAATGAAAGCTGCTTATTATAGCTGTGTTGCATATCAGGATCAACTTAGGAAGGCCAAGAAGAAAATGGGCGAAGAAAATATCCAAAAGGCTGTCAAGACTGCCATGGATGCCGCAGAAGCTGCTATTTCTGGAGGAAGACCCTTCTGTGTTACTCATGCCGATGTGGGTCTTGATACAACTGCTGTCCGTGAAGCAGTTATCAAAGCCATGAACCGTTTCAAGGTCGGTACTCCAATCCATTTTTGTCTACTAGTCTCCCCATCATTTATCCAAAAATAACTATAGATTCAGCATAATTCCCAACTTACTCCAACAATTTATTTTTGTACGAATTAAAACATTAAATCTGTATTCCTCGTGTCAAATCTTTCGATGTGCTGGTGACCTCGTGGGTTCGACTTTGCTAGAATCTGCCTATGATGGTATTCAGCACGGATGAGGCATCAAACAAGGCTGTTATTTATGCCGGTGTACCTCCCGATGCACCCAATGGCTTCAAGGTGTTGGATTGGCTTACACCTTCAATCGCACCACTCAAGGGAAGAGGAGGCGGCGGCAAGAATGGTCTTGCCCAGGGCCAGGTGAGGCATTGTTTTTAATCTTTAAGCGAAGTCTCTTTGGTAAAAAGTCTACTAATTATCTCTGAATCCTGCAATGCAGGGAAGTGATGCTTCTCGGGTCAAGGAGGCCATGGAGATTGCTAATCAGATAGCTTCAATGAAGCTGAGCTGATTTGCTGACACTGGCCTTTGAAGTCTGTTCCGACAGTACATATGTAAATGTGTTAGTATAGTTTGGTTTGTCAAAATTGTGCGAAGTAGTGAAGTTTCTATATTAATCAATGGTTGTTGTGCTTGCTATCAAAAGATGCTTATAACAATCATCCTTTGAAGTCTCATGGCTGGCTGGCGTCCGAGTTTCGATATTGGCTTGGGTCGGGAGCCACCATCTTTTTTTACATGACGCCTAGATGCCACTGAAAATCAAAACCCGAGCAGTCCAACCATTGTAGCAAAAAAACCCTATGTGCAACAAAATTTTAGTCTTGCAACATCGTTGCCTCATTTTTTCACATGTATCAAAACCTTGAAGGAGACAACACAACGTTTGAGACACCACACGCAATAGTTCTTTGTATGCAATAAATCCCGGTTTAGTAGGCTCCGAGTGTGTCACACAGTGAAGGTAACCATTTGTTTTTTTTTTGGGGGGGGGGGTAAGGCACCCCTTCTTCCCCACCAACACTTCTTTTTTCAATAGAAAACCAGGTTCAGAAGGACCTGGGATTACAAAGCACATAACTGGACTCAAACGAAGAAAAAATACAACACAGTCCCGAAAATTTGCATGGAGGACCCCAATGAGAACAGGAACAACAATTAGGTCCAACCGACTTCAGTTTGGAAACGCTCCTTCGATCGTCAGTGACGAAACCATTGGGCCTCGAAGAATCACAACCACCCCCATCGCCGGCAGCCAAGCTTGTCGGAGAAAAAAGTGGTGGGATCCATGTCGAAGCCAAGAAAATGCCTCCCCAGGAGGAAAGATCAGAGCCGACAAGAACGCCGCCGCGCCATTAGAACGCCATTCAGCTAGAAGAGTCACAGGTTAGGCGCCAGACACAGGCCATCGACCGCCGTAGATGAGATACAACAGGCGGTCAGGGGCCATTGCTCACAATCCGATGGTGAGGATTCACAATAACCCAATCGGCTAGATCCAGAACTCCACACAATGACACAATCCTTCTTCCCATCTCCATGGTGGCAACCGAAGAACATGACAAGGGAAACAATTGTTGGTTCAACTTCATGACAAGTTACAACTAGTTGAAAATAGTGCATAGCAGGAAAGCTATGTTCCATTTCCATAGAATACCCATGCTCCACATGTTGTTGTTTATGTTTAGTATAAAGTGAGCTTGTTAGTAGACTTCAGAATCAGCATGGAACTTCATCATTAATATAGTAAACATTTATAGACTTAACTGATTGTGATCATTTGTTGTGTGCTAGATACAGGAAAAAACTATTTTTGATCCCTCACCTATTTTGGACAAGTTTAGTTTTGTTCGATAAACTATAAAAAAAAGATAAACAAGGCCCGTAACTTTCAAACAAGACAAATCTGGTTTCATGTTTGACTCAAAGCGGTATGATGGATGACGTGACTTCACAAAGTGACAATCTAATCAACAAAAATATGAAAAGAATTCAAATATACGGGAGGGGTATTGTAGCAAGAAGGCAATGCCAGCGGGGTGTCTCGGACCAGGCCTGGCATATGGTATAGTCGGATGAGGCAGTGACATTGCTTCATGCTTCTTGCATTCTTGTTTTAGACAATAGTGAAGGACCTTCCCATGCCCATGGGGCGCGAATGGGTGAAGGGATGCAACAATCTAGTCAAAGGTCATGCCAAAATAGGTTCAATGATGGCCACGATAGCACTTGCGTGTATCTTACTCTCCCCCCATTTTTTGACGGTGAAAGATCGTGGATGTCCCCTAGAGGGGGTGAATAAGCGCTTTAAAATAATTACAGTTTAGGCTTGAACGAAAGCGGAATAAAACTAGCGTTTAATTTGCCAAGCACAAAACCTAAAACAACTAGGATCATCTATGTGCATCAGCAACTTATGCTAAGCAAAATAAACAACTAAGTGATAGCAAGATATATGACAATAAATAATATGGCTATCACAAAGTAAAGTGCATAAGTAAAGGGTACGGGTAAGAGATAACCGAGGCACGCGGAGACGACGATGTATCCCGAAGTTCACACCCTTGCGGATGCTAATCTCGGTTTGGAGCGGCGTGGAGGCACAATGCTCCCCAAGAAGCCACTAGGGCCACCGTAATCTCCTCACGCCCTCGCACAATGCAAGATACTGTGATTCCACTAAGGGACCCTTGAGGGTTGTCATCGAACCCGTACAAATGGCAACTCTTGGGGGTGGTGACCGAACCCATACACTTTGGCAACCCTTGGGGCGGTCACCAGAACCCGTACAAATTGCTCGGGGCGATCTCCACAACCTAATTGGAGACCCCGACGCTTACCCGAAGCTTTACACCACAATGATTGAGCTCCAAAGCACCACCAACCGTCTAGGGCGCCCAAGCACCCAAGAGGAATAAGCTATAGGGTACCAAGCATCCAAGAGTAATAAGCTCTCAACTTCACTTCCACGTATCACCGTGGAGACCTCAAACCTATGCACCAAATGCAATGGCAAGGGCACACAAAGTGCCCAAGTCCCTCACTCTCAAATCCCACCAAAGCAACAAAAGTTATGGAGGAAAATGAGAGAAAGAAGAAGAAGAGAACAACAAGAACTCCAATATCTAGATCCAAGGGGTTCCCCTCGGAAAGAGAAGAAAGTGATTGGTGAAAATGTGGATGTAG